AGCTTGTACCCCCATGTACATCTTCTAGAATCCGAGAAAAGAAAGGATCAAAGGGATACAATTCGGGAAAAGTGGAGAATCTCGGTACTGATACATGAGCTTGTACCTCCACGTACATCTTCTAGAATCCGAGAAAGGAAAGGATCGGAGGGATACAATTAGGGAAAAGTGGAGAATCTCGGTACTGATACATGAAGTGACGGCTCAATGCATCGGCCACTCAGTTAAGGACACCCGATTGATGCTTGATAACAAAAATAAATTGTTGGAGATAGGCTATCCAAGAAGCATGTCGAGCCAAAACCTTGTCTTGACTTCCGAGACGTTTTAAAGCGTCATGGTCGGTGTAAAGAACAAATTCCTTGTGGAAAAGATAATGACGCCAATGTTTAATGGCTTGAACCACTACGGAAAATTCGACATCATAAGTACTATAACGAGCTCGTGAACCGGAGAGCTTCTCACTATAACAAGCAACGGGTCATCCTTGTTGACTAAGAACGGCCCTTGTACCAACCTTAGAGGCGTCACTATGTAGCTCAAAAGTAAGAGAAAAGTCCGGTAAAACCAAAATAGGGGCTGTGGTGAGCTTGTGTTTAATTAGCTCAAAAGCCTTGGCAGCCTCCGATGTCTAAGCAAATTTTCCATCCCGAATACAATCCTAATCGGGGCTACAATGCTACTAAAGTGGGGAATAAACCGGCAGTAGAAAGAAGCTAACCCATGAAAGCTTCGTACTTCGGTGACGGTGCGCGGAGTTGGCCATGATCGAATAGATTCCACTTTGTTTTGATCCACTGCCAAACCTTCCTTTGAAACAACATAACCAAGAAATAGAACTTGGTCGGAACCGAATTCACACTTTTTGAGAGCCGCATAAAATTTATCTCGCCACAGTACTAAGAGAACTTCACGAAGATGTCAGAGATGATCCTCCATAGTAGCGCTAAAAATAAGAATATCATCAAAATAAACAACAGCGAACTTATCGATAAACAGCCGAAGCGCTTGGTTCATTACTCTCATAAAGGTGCTCGGGACGTTAGAAAGCCCGAATGGCATCACTAACCATTCAAATAGACCATCACGTGTTTTGAACGCTGTTTTCCATTCGTCCCCGGGTCGAATCCGAATTTGATGGTAGCCGCTCTTAAGATCTAGCTTTATGAAAATAGTGGCTCCACTTATTTGATCAAGGAGATCATCGAGGCGGGGAATCGGAAAGGATCTCACAGTAATCTTATTAATAGCGCGGCTGTCCACACACATGCGCCAAGAGCCATCTTTCTTTGGAATTAGGAGTGCAGGGACGGCACAAGGACTGAGACTCTCCCGTAAATATCCTTTTGCAATCAACTCTTCAACTTGTCGACGAAGCTCTTCATGTTCACTCGGACTCATCCGATAGTGTGGCTTGTTGGGAAGTGTAGCACCTGGAACAAGGTCAATTTGATGTTGAATGTCTCGCAACGGTGGCAACCCATTAGGAAGTTCTTCCGGAAAGACATCCGAAAACTCTTGGAGAAGCGCTTGAATTCCAGACGGCATATACTTGGGTGATGGAGACATGCTTGGAGCTGTAACAAGTGCATATACGATGCCGGCTTCCTGCATGGCAGTTGCAAACTTCGAATGGGTGAGAAGCATGACTGATTTAGGCGCAGATCCGAGCGGCTATGCGTTGGCAGACATCCGTTGATTCGGGCGGACGTTCACTGGGGGTAGCAACAGAGGTCTAGGCGGATCTTTTGATGGGAGTGGCGTAATTTTGCGTTTCTCAAAGTGGAAACTATAGGTATTTGATTTCCCATCACGAATGACATGTCGATCATATTGCCAAGGTCGCCCCAAAAGGATATGACATGCATCCATGGGAACTATGTCGCAATAAATCTTATCTTTATAGTTAGTTCCAATGGAAAAGGGAACGAGAACCCGGCAAGAGACTTGAACTTCTGATCCTTGCTTCAACCAAGCGAGCTTGTAAGGGGTGGGATGATTTTCTGAATTTAACGCCAGTTTACGAACGGCTTCTTCGGAGACAACATTCTCACAACTTCCCGAATCAATAATAAAACAACAAACTTTTCCACTTACCATGCAAGGGGAATGAAAAAGACTTGCTCGTAGCCACGAATCATCGGTTGCCTTTGGAGAAAAACAACTTCGGCGAAGCACAAGTAATGGACCCGAATCTCCCGAAACTGGTTCTTCCGGGAGTTGTTCTAATATCTCCTCATCCTCTATGTGCTCATCATAATTTTCATGCAAAATTTCAGGATCTCCCATCTCAATTCCTTCGGCTAAGAGACCACGTCTTCCGGTGTTAGGGCATGCCGTTTGACGATAACCTGATTCTCCACAAGAGAAACAACGAAGAGTATTAGGACGAGAAGGACGGCTTGTACCTATGGAGTCGGCGGTGGTGGCTAGACGGGGAAGAGCCAGTGGAGGAGTTGCAGCGGCGGCGGCTGGTGCAGGGGCGGTAGAAGGGGGTCGTGTGGAGATGCTGGTGCGAGCGGCAACAGCGACTAGCCAGCTCCAAAGGGAGGCACCGGATCGATTATGTCGTTCAATTAATAACGCCCTTTGATGGGCTTCAGAGACGGTTGCCGGATCAAAGAGATTCAATATATTCTGAAATTGTGGGCGAAGCCCTCCGATGAAGCGGGAAACTGATTGTTCATCTGTTTCATTAATCTCATTCCTTGTAAGCAAAAGGAAAAACTCGGTCGCGTATTCATCCACCGTCCGATTGCCTTGTCGTAAATTTTGGAGGCGTTGATACATGGTCCGTACATAATTATACGGAAGGAATGTGCGCTTCATATGCTTCTTCAATTTTTCCCATGAGGAGATCTTCTCTTTCCTGGCACGCGAACGAGAGATCTTGAGTTGTTGCCACCAAGCGGCGGCTCGGCCTCGAAAACGGGTAGCGACAAGAGAAACTTGTCCGGGACTTCCTTAAATTCTAAGATTTCTTCAACGGCTCCAATCCAATCCAAAAACTCTTCCGGTTGGAGACTTCCATGGAATTCGGGAATATCAAGTTTGAAACGCGACTCCCAGCGGCGGTTGTCTTCCTGACGTGGTGCAGTGACGTTAGCACGATGGCGAGGAGGCGCGGCTTGCAGCGGTGCAAATCGGTTTTCTTCGACATCAACATCTCCTTCATCTTCGGAATCTTGGACATGATCCGGAGGGGGCACAACGGGTGGAGCGGGTGGTTGGTTGTTGGCTTGAAGGGCGGCGAGAATGGCTTGCTGCATGGATTGCTGCATGTTCTACTGAAATTCGGCAAGTGTTTGACGGAGTTCATCCCAATCGTTGGCGGGTTGTGGGCGACGTCGGGGCGGCATGACGGAGGAGCGTAGCAAGTCTCTGATACCAATTGACGTAGCGGAAGCGTAAAAAGGTGTCACGCAATTCCGTTGATTCGAAAGAATACCGGAAAACGGAAGGCGAGTAATTCGTTAATTCAAAAGAATGCCGAAAAACAAGCAAAGTGGAGAAAAAACTTCTCTGAATATTTTATTATCAAAATATCAATAATGAAAATAACAATCTATCCTACTATTTAAAGAGAACTACAATTCGAAATCGAAAAGGAAACTATCTCTAATTAATCTCTTTCTAATTTTAAAAATAAGGAGACTATCTAAACTTAGAATTTAAAGATAAAGATAAAAGACTATCTAAACTTAGAATTTAAAGATAAAGATAAAAGACTATCTAAACACAAAAGCTTCTTTTTTTTTTGGAAAAGAAACAAGATAATATTATTAAAATAATCGAAAGATCTCCATTCACCAAGTCTGATGCTAACTCACCAAAGATGATAATTTCGTTGAGTCGAAGAAAACTATTCAAGTGAAAAAGACGTCAAAAGCAAACCTGTGGATGACTTTGTCCAATTCGCACCAACAATGATTGTATTAGTTCCCTCACAGCATGGTTATTAGAGTGTATCCGGGCAATTATTTGAGGTAAAACCACCAGCCAAGTGTTGATGTTAACAAGTGAAAATCCTTTCTGTAGTGCCATTTGGACTTCCACTGTAGCTCCATGGTTGAACCACAACGTGAGAAGACGAAGAATATCCTGTAACAGGTCCAAAAGCCATCATTCTTTTTTTTGCCTCCCCACTACAATAAGAAACACAAACGAGGTGCAATTTGCTTACATCAATGCAAGTGACGGAATTTCATTTACCTGCAAACTATCATCAACACCTTTTGCATTTGCTGCACATGCTATTGAATGAAAATATCCAGTTACTGCCGCAACCACAAACTGTGCTGCCACAATGGGATAACCTCTTACAGTGTAATGAGACATTACAGCAGTGTTGAACAATGCCCATTGATGCCATGCTTTTGCCCATTTATTAGCATACTGAGTGGCATTCCCAAATGCATTGACGATTTCTACAAAGATTGATAGTTCACTAAATAATATTGCTAAACTTTCAGAGAAATCGGGGGAAGAAGATAGAGCACAAACTACCTTGTATAGATTCATCATCCAATCCAGGAGACAACGCCCACTGCCAGATTCCAAGTTTACGGTAGACACGAGCAAGGAGAGGAACGCCTGAGCTAGTACAACTCATCAAGCCAGTACTCATTGCACTTGAAAGCTCTATAGCCAAATTCTAGAAAAGAAGTTTACCAGCCAAGCAAACATATCGTAAGAGGATATGGATGTAGGGTGATGCCAGATGCTCATCACTGCTTAAAATATGCAAACCAAATATTCAAAAAGGCAATACCTGCAGCCTAGCAAATGCTTCCTTGCGCTTAAGATCCTCACCAAGAGACCACTGGTATTTCAAGTATGCCAGCATTACTTGTGGGGGTCCATGGTACCGCACACTTTCATGAGATGTTTCAGGGTCATACTGACAAGAGTTCAAAAGAATGGCGATCAAGGGGAGGAAACACAAATACGTATACAAAAATGGTGGAAAGAGAAAGAGCTCAATAGCAACCTCATCGGAGCATGATTATACCACTGACCTGTAAGAGTTTGACTAGAGTAGACCGAGCCTGACCAATCCGTCCACTTTTGCGGCAAAGCAAAGCAAACTTAAGCCAGTTTTCAACATCTTCAGTAGGAGGTAGCACTAGCGCTCTAACAGCTAAAAGTGTCTGCCAAACCTGAATTAAAGCACAAATATTAGGAGAAAGTACTGCATAAAAACATAGAGTCGGATGAAATTGAATAAGCCAACTGTGAAATTCCTATTTGCATGCCTGCATTCTTGTAATTAGCTAAGCCAAGGAATGAAACCCATTAAACAGAGAATCCAAATCTAAATAGGGGGGAAAAAACAGAGACCATTATGGTGAGACAAAAAAAAAAAAAAAAAACCAACCTTTTCTTAAAGTATATTGTGCAACAGTTTTATTATCTTATTTGTAATCTAAAAAACATATCAGGGGTTATTTTATCAATGAAGAAGATTTTAGATTCAATAATCTAAACAAAACAAAAATTCAGTTTAATACACACCAAATTTCCAACCACTTAATCAAGAAAAAAGGGGCCTTTCAAATATCAAAAACGGCAAACATATGAAGGATTTATGATTGGCATGCACATAACAAAAGGCTTGTAATTCGTACGCACAAATGTAAAGAAAAATGATTACACCTAGTAGGAACTAGCATCAACTGGCTGGCTTCCAGAAGGAAGTAAGATTATCAGGCAAAGTCTCCATTCCACGTATCATGAGCTTTTCTTTTCTTTGAAAATTATCAGACAAAGTCTCCATTCCACGTATCATGAGCTTTTCTTTTCTTTGAAAAAAAAAAGGCCTAAAAACTCAAAGACTGTATTATGACTCCCCAATAATTTTCAGTCCAAATCCTAATAATTTCTGTACTACAATCACAATGGAAAATCTTCCTTTTTTTCCTAGACTAGAGGAAATAGACAGGATAAAGACTTACCTCAACATTTCTTTTAGCTCCTTGAATGCGCTCAGTCCACATATTACGAATAAGGGCTCGCCGTCCTTCAGCAACAGGATTCCCCACAGGAAGCGTGCAGTAATCAATCACCTGATGGAACACAAAATATTAAATTTTTTTTAATAAGAAAAACGCCTTCCATTGATAATTAATCAATTACGAGGAAAAAGGACGACGTATCATCATGAAAGCCAAAAAAAAAAAGAGAATAAAAGGTCCTCCTAGAAAACAAAAACAAAACATTTAACTATGAATTACATAAAACCAATTTAGACTGATCAAAGAAAAGGGAAAACCCTTGAACTCCTTAAGTCAAAGCCCAAGAAGCGTGCAGTAATCAATCACCTGATGGAACACAAAATATTAAATTTTTTTTAATAAGAAAAACGCCTTCCATTGATAATTAATCAATTACGAGGAAAAAGGACGACGTATCATCATGAAAGCCAAAAAAAAAAAGAGAATAAAAGGTCCTCCTAGAAAACAAAAACAAAACATTTAACTATGAATTACATAAAACCAATTTAGACTGATCAAAGAAAAGGGAAAACCCTTGAACTCCTTAAGTCGAAGCCCAAGCAATGCTAAAAGTTTCCCCTTTACCAAAGAATCTATTATGTTTACGCGGTGGAACTCAACATATTATGTTTACACAAAAAAGTTGAAGTGAATATTACAGCAAAAGTGATTCAACATCAGAGCAAACCTCCTCAAGTTCTGACAGCTGCTGAACTCGGACCATATTGGTATAAGCTCGTTCATAGCTTTCCAAAACCTACAGAACAAGTACACATTAAGTTTCATTATATACTATATAAACCAAGAAAATTTTCACTACAAACGTGATTCAATCCACCTTTCTATATAAATTTCCACTCACACGACAGAGCCAGCAAGAATGATTTATGGACTAAACAAGTAAATATTGCAATAGTTGACATCCGTCAAATATGGACAGAAATTATACATCTTTTTATACAAACATATCATGAACATTCTCAGAGTAACGTATAAAATGGCACATTGCTAAGGCAAGGAAAAAGTATATATATTACGAAACACTAGGAACAGATTCATAACAACAACAACAAACAACAACAGCAAGCCTTAATCCCAACTTAATTGGGATCGGCTACATGGATTTCACTTTTCCACACAGCTCTGTTTGAAATTAGACTTTCCTGAAGGCCTAGATCTAGAATGTCTTTCCTATCGGTCCACGTAATTCTTGGTCTACTCCTCTCTCTCCTAGTATTAGGAACAGGCCTAGATCTAGAATGTCTTTCCTATCGGTCCACGTAATTCTTGGTCTCCCCCTCTCTCTCCTAGTATTAGGAATAGATTCATAAGGCAAGGAAAAAATATAATAAGAAATACAAGAAACAGACTACTTGACCTTCATCTCAATCTATTTAGACCAACTTACTGATTAATTAATGGACAGAATCACAAATTCTCACAGGTTAAAATCTTAACTTTGACATCTGCATAGTCAAAATATGTTTCAATCCAATATCACTGTGACTATCAAGATGTCAAATTTTAGCTCCACGCCACTTTTCCAAACTAAGTTTCCAAATGAATGCAAACCTTTGTAAAAACTTGAATAATAATACATAACAACAACAACAATCTTACCAGAGCAGCAAGCTCTGTTGCCAGGCATTTCCTAGCTCTCTCCACATATTCACGTGCTTCATCATACTGCGGAAAATTAAATGAAGGCATAAAAATTAAAAGAATATTACACTCAGCTGCGATGAGAGAAAATAAGTCCTGATTATCTAGGAAATTACAAGTAAAAGCCCAAAACAAAAACAAAAACACAAACAAAAACAAAAGCAAAAACAAAACAAAACAATTATAAAACACGCTACTAAAATGTCTATAGGTTGATTCTCTACTTACTATGAAGATGTCTATTTTCCACAATTTGTTTATCTGAAATAGAAGCGTAAATACTAGAAGAAAAAAAACATTATTTGACCGTTCAATAAAAGTTGGCATACTAAATAACTAAAATGATACACAATAAACTAAGATACAGAGCTTGATAGGTCATGTAAAGAAGCTAAAAATACAATTATCATTATAATCCTAATTGTTATATTATATACTCTTCTAGACAGATAATTGCACTTGATAACGGAAGGAGATAAGTATTTGTATTATAAGCAAAGGTGGGAAACATACAAGATGTTTCTTCAAAAATCATCTCAAAGCAATGGACATTAGCCATAATGTAACTGGGAGTAAAGAAGGATCTAGAATAAATGGTACCTTTCCTCTACGAACTAATAGAACAACTCTGAAGAATGTACCATTACTACTCCCATCACCACTGGCAGCAGTGTTCCCCAATCCCCTAAGTTTAGTTTCATCACCATCATCTAACCGAGACACATATTCTGCCATTTGATCCCACTCCCCCATATTCCACGCAGCATTAGCCGCCTGGCACCATCAAACCATTACGGACACAATCAAAGATACATAGATGACAACCAAATTTATTTAGAAACCAACCATTGGCGCCATTTCCAGTCGAGCAGCAGGTTCAGCTGGGGTCCAATACTCCTTGCAAATATTGTTAAGCTCCTCCCACCTAGCCAAAGCAGCAAGGCATCGCATACGACCTACAAAAGACGCCGAATGAAGACATACGATTATGAAAGTAAGATTGCAAATCAAATCAAGAAACTTTAGTGATGATAATAATTAGAATAGAGAATCAAAACGTGAATTGAGGATACAGGCTCCTCTTCTTTATCCTCAAAATAAAAATAAAAATAATTTGCAACGCAGAAGTTAAGAACAAAGTTTGCAGCATTTGACAGTCAAAGCAAAGGAGGGACACCAGAAGGCATCGCCCACAATAAACAGAATTTCTTTGACCACGAAGTAAGAGTGCACTACTGTGGTAATCATTAGTTTTTGTCTTGGATAAGAATTATGCAGAGCGCACATTTGCATCATACTGTTTACAAAACGTTAACAGCATGGTACATCACAAACAGAGTATACGACGCAAATATCTCCTAAAAGGGTTCCAAGGTTTTTTTTAAAAATTAAATGGAAGGGATTCAAGTTTTAAAACAAGAAAACAAGAAGGCTGAGAGGATCCACCTGCTCACAAGAAAAAGGAAGACAGAAGTTCTCCTGTTTCTTTAGTTAATTTAGTCAATGCCATTATAAAATACAAAATATATATACTAGAAAAGAAAAAGAAAAAAAAAAAAACTAAGAACAGAACTTAATGCATTTATTCAAGGTAGCAAAGGAGAATGGACTAGGAGTCACAAATATAAAAGATTTCAGATTAGCTAAAGAAATTTGTGTGTGTTTGCCAGCATAGAAGCAACAACAGACTTATCAACACAGACCTAAAGTGGCATCCAAAACAAGATGGGGACTCGATGCTTGAGCAGCTTTCGCAGTGTAGGCCTTGAGAGCATCATCCCATCGTTGCAATTTCTCATACCTAAAAGAAGTAAAACTTAGTGTGAGAGCTTGTTGTTTCTAGGTTCAATCAAAATCATAATTTTGATTACAAAATGAAAATTGTTACAAAGGGCATGGAAGTACACAAACTGGGATGGAGATGGTGTATAAGACGACAAATTAAAAGTTCAACATAAACTAAAACAAAATCCTGAAGTTCAAACTCTCCAAGAAAAAAAAAAGGATAAACATCCAATCAAAGCGTTGTCGAAAGGCAAGAAAAAGAAAAACTCCGCGTTACCATGATTCTTTCAGTTGGACATCCAAAATTTGCTGGGCATAGGTCAATATTCCAACAGCAGCCTAGGAAAACAAATTGACATCAATAAACTTGCACGAGATATGTTCAAGAAACACAGACCAGAACCATAAAAACTACATAAAAGTAATAAACATTTCAAAGAAACCTCATGCTGGTGTAACTGATTGTTTATATGTATAAGTGCTTCGACAACAGCTACAGGATTTGCATCCATCTTCTTGGAGCGAGCTCCTTCAAATTCCATTTCTTTGTAATGCAGGGCCTTTGCAAAGGCACGGCACTGAAGTGTGGTATCAACAATCGTGTAAGGAATTTCTTAATGCACACTAAAAATAACAGGAAAGGGCAATTTTTTCATATAGGACAGATAAAAGAAAATAGAAAACAATACCTTTTCTGCGAGAGCACCAAGGAGGCGAATATCTATAGGAAGAGCTTTCTCGTCATGTTCCATAAACTCTGCCTGGAAAGTTAGTGAACTAAATAAAAGGGAAAAAAAAAAAAGATTCCAAGCAAAGCCAAAAAAGAAGGTTCACACACGCACATATAAATATTGACCATAGAATCATTTACACTCTGCATATTTTGCACGCCACCATGTGTCAAGTACATGAGCAAATAGGAAGCTTTAACAAAAATAAGTAAAAGATTCACAAAATTACTCTGTTGTATGCAGAACCTAGCACCCTGTTCGCTTTGAAACTACAAATGAGCCATAGCACTCATTAAAGACCTACTTAGCAAACATGAGGCTGGGTCCACTAATTTAAATATAAAGCTCATAAAATTGGCCAAAGCTTGATTCATGTATTTAAATAAACATTACCAAGTTTTGACCCAATCCGAGCCTAATTTTCAATTATAGGGGCGATTCAAACCTCAAAGTCTTAAATGTACCAATCCAAGCAACAAAAACGAGAACATTCAACTCACAGAGATCATCCTATTTAACTTCTATAATTGGCAGCAACCACAATAGTGATCTAAATTTATTGATGGAACAACAATAATAATTTAGATGCTGAAAGAGACATACCAAATTAAGAAGTGTAGCCAAAATCTCTGGAGGAATATTAGGAGATGAAAATGCCATTTCCATACTCCGAATCAATTGTCTCTGACTTGTCTCCTTTAGTTGTGCCCAACAGCTGACAAAACCCGCTGCAAATAACTCGCGCCCAACAAATGGCTGCAAAGCTACGGATTAAAATCCAATCTGCAAATCAATAAAGCTATAACTGATAGAAAAGCAATAAAATCAATACCTGTAATTGTGCAAGCCTTGCACAGGTTCGCAAGGCAGGAGAAGGGGATTCCTTTAAAAGTTGAATACTAAAATGCCTCATCCATTCTGCCCAATCTTCTTTGGTACTGCGTTGAGAAGCCTCCCCAGCAGATCGCAGTCGACCATCATTTACCTGTAACTTTTGTAATTAGTAAAATTCTAGAAATCCACTAAAGCAAATGTATAAGGTAAAGAATGAGAGAAAAGCAGACCAACGTAACATGTAAACGTTCAGTGGTCATATTAGGAGTATTTGGTGGGGGGAGACTAATTTACTATCACACGCACACGCACTCACACACAAAATACACAAACACACACACATATCAGAGGTTGTATTTTACTATCATAACTGCTCAAGTCTTTCTTTTTCTTCCTTTCCATTTTTTTGTTGCCGCTTGTGGAGGACAGCTTGTTTTCTTGTATCTCTAGTTTGTTTAATAAACCTCTTGCTTCGTATCAAAGTTATAGAAAGCAAAACTAACGAAGTTAATTTCATTCAAGCGCCAATGGCCCAATATAGCATTTTATTGGGTTGGGAGCAAAATTTTTTCATAAAATGTGTGTATAAAAGTATTAAAAAGGAAAAGAAAATTTTCCAAAGAGAGCTAGGGCATTGCATATTCCCTATCATGATATCCTTTGGTAAATGAATCAACTTCTAACCTGCATGCCAAGAGATCCTGACAAGAAAGGTGCACAATGGAACAACAAAGTAGTTTCCAGAGTACATTTATAAACGAGTACCTGATGACCTCGAAGTTGTTTCTGCACATCAGACCCATCATCATAGGGATCATTCTCCACATCATTCAAAGGATCACTGATAACCTCAACTGGGAGCTTTCGACTTAATCTTTGGGAAGCTGTGCTCCCCAAGATCAATGGTTCCCGTCTTTTCAAACGTCCTTCAATTTCCTCAAAATCCTTATGCTACAGAAGATCAGATATTTACATTTTAGCTCACAATAAATCTGAATATCATAGGTTAAAACCAGAAAAGGATCAAGTAAAGTGGGAGGGGCCACGGACCCGTAACCGATGCTTCAACATAAGTTTGTGTATCGACGGGATAAAAGTGGTGAAGTCCTCTCCAAGAGCTTGAGCCAGACAACAAAGTGCATCAACAGAATCCTTACGAAGTTCATCATTCTTCCTGTTAGACAGTTGAGGCAGTATCCCCCAGTTCAGACAATATGCATATAACAAGAATAATCAGGAAAAGATTCAAAAATTTCAGCATTAAGTGCATGGTAGAGGGGGCCAGGAGAAGAGGGGTTTCAGTAAGGAACATGTTAAAGATGTTAATAATATGAGCCATTTTCTAGCCCTCAATCTGTCGAAAGGGTAACCAGCAACAGATAAAAGAGTACATCTTCAGAAGACGACGCTTTTTTAGTGTCAATAAGTTAAACTTCCAACAATTTCTTTGGAAAACAAACCACAGACATAAAAAAGAAGGGCCTATCAGGTATAGTTCAAATCAGAGAAAGGAGAGTCATACCCATCCAAGACAAGCTTCAGGTGATGCACAAGAGAAGATATATGACCAGTAACCTAATGACAAGTGTAAAAGCATGACTTCCAAAAATATATCCCAAAAGGGAAAAGATATCAAAACTTAACTAATGCAACTCATCAAACTTGTAAATAGGAAAACGCTCAGCTGCAAGCCTGCTAACCTGCACGCGTGGAATCAATCTAGTCAAAGTTTTTATAGCAGCACGCCTTATCTCTACCGAAGCGTCCACTTTAAACAATCGAATAAGCGCAGGAAGAAGTAAATGCATATGTTCATCCAAAGTTCCTGCAATTGTAACATGTTTCTATCAGTAAAAAAAAAGTTCAATGTCTAGAGCATTTTAAGTTCAAAATCTAGACAGTTTTACCATCTTACAGTTTATAATCCATGAAGAAACCCAGAGTGCTTCCAAAACCATATATTTAACCAAATATTAGAAGACAACAGTCTTTTATTTCTCAAAAATACACTTTGACTTTTTTTTTAACAATCACACAAAAATATTATTATTATTTATTTAAAAAAGAAAGAAAGAAAAGCAATACAGAAATTATTCAAATTGCGACAACGAACCACCGAAGACTTCAAGAGTGTGGAGTATGTCGAGAACATAGGTGTAATCATTATAGCGTTCTGCATCACTTAGAACTTGTATACAGCATGGAAGAATATTAGGAAGATATGTTCTGAACTCATCATTGAGAGCCAAGCAAAGCTGTTCCACTAAATGCAGAACCTGTGAAGAACATATAACCACACTTTTTTACCTTGAAAGAAAAAGAAATACCTTTTTTTTGGCTTAAAGAAAATGGGAATGCATGCATAAAAGAACGTATGTCCCAATGGAAAAGACTCTAGCACAACACTTTTAAGTGTAATATGACCTGTGTGAGCATACTGAATAAAAGAACTTACCGGATAGCCAAGTGAAGGACGGCTAGCGGCAGGAAAACTGAATGATGACCATAATACTGAAATTAAAGACAGCAGCTCTGGCAGATATTTTCGTATGTGCTGCACAAAAACCAAACTTGTACGTGATCTCTGAAGCACCATAAAAACAGCTACATGCACAAAATAAGTTTACACCATTATGTACCTGACGAACAATAGACACTAGAGTGCCAAGCTTCCATGTTATAAAATCCTTTAAGGCATCGTCACATGTCCGAACAATGAGAAAGAGATCGGGCAGAACCTATTTTAAAGGAACAAGGCCAATAAGCAAAAAAGTTACATAAGTGGTGAACGCAAAGAACTTCCAGATGGAGAGAGAAATATTTTCTCTCTTCTTTTAAGCATGAACTATGGCTAACCTTTTGCAAGTATGGAACGCAACCGAGCCCCATTGACTGAATTCGCAAAGAAAAAAAAGGGTTCAAAATTTAGACATCAAAAAAATATGAACAGTGGAAAGCACGGCTAATGAAAAACATCCCCCATTATACGGTACCTTAAATATGAACATAAGAGATCCAACAACCTTTAGGTGGTAACTAGAAAGGGAAGGGTCCCTAAGTATTCGCATTAGGGAATTGATAGAAACCTGTATTGACATACAATATTCCAAACAGACAACAATGATTAAACGTAATTATCCAAAATAAAAAATTGGCAACCATCACTTTAGATAGACCATGGACATATTACAGCTGGAGGGAACTCATTATGAACATAGATAACAAAATTCATATACCAGGCTCATGTACTACCGTGGAATAGTAATCTTCAGATGTTGCAAAAGATGGCCATAGGTCCATGGGCAGTTCATCCATCGACTGGAGATGCTGACCAGAATCACTGGCAGCACGGGTAACATCTCCATGCGATCCTGACAGGCTAAGTTGATTTCTTTTATGTAGATGAGGATCCAAGGCACCCATAATTCCGAGAACCTGTAGATCCAAAAAACATATCTCTCACTTTTAGTACGAGAAATAAATATCTGTCACATATAACTAACCAACCCCTTTTTTCTTTTTATTTTTGTCTTTATCGGATCTGAACATTAATTGAGAAGCCTACCTTTAGCACTTCGCGTCTGGTAGACCATGCCAACTCTCCATTTAGCAACTTCAACAGTAAGCCAAGTAACAGGGGGAAATCATTATATGGAGTTATGACATACCTGTTACATTAATAAATTTCACAAAAATTCACACTTCATTGAACATTACTACAAAACGACGTTACTCAAATATTTCCACTTTACAAGGAGAAAAGAAAAGGGAAGTTAAACAGTTAAACGTAAAATTATGAGAACAACATTTTGGCTAAAATAATTGGCTTAAGTTCAAAGGCAAATAACAAACCATTAATACTTGAATGAAAACAAGTGTCAAGTGGACATAAAGTCTTCAAGCATGAGATGAACTTATCGTGTGATAACTAGTGTTCTTTTTAGGTGAAGTGTGAGCTTTATGCTGCACATCCCTTGAACAAATACTCTAGTTCTTTCGGTAGAAATAAAAATATAATCAGATATTCCACATAAAAAGCCTTAATATGCATAAATGAATATAATTTCTATTAACTGATAGAGGTAAAATTAGACAAAAAGAACAACACATCATAAAACAGCATCCAAACACGGATTATACCCAGTGCTCTGCACAATTTGACCAAGAGTGGTAACAGCAACTTCACGTTTGGCAACAGCTGCTCCATCCGATAAAGCTTCAACAATTAAGGGCATAAGTTTGGGCATGTATTGTCTCATTTCGAAACCACCCTAGACAAAAGGGCGACAAAGTCAAACAAAATAGTAAAGAATTTGAATAAATCAGATTAAAAAACTCGTGAGCAGAACAAGAATAGTTACAAGTTCATAAGGTTCTACGTCAATAACACATAAAAACATATTGATAAGAAGGGTTTTCTTTTAGTGCTGGGAGAGACGAAGGTTTGAACACATCAATAAAGCTATCTACCTTATATCCATGCCTACTGAAAGTCCTCTCTAACATTACAGCTACAGAAATTAGACGCTAGTCTAAAATTGTGAGTCCAATTCAATTATTTATATGGACTGCATGCAAAACTCGAAAGAGATGTGTTTTCAAGTTTCTGGGTGTATTTTATATTGCTCTGAACATGCACAAGATGCTCGGAAGAAGATAAATTCCTTCAGAACAAATAATATGATGATATGTAAACCAATCAGTTTAGACGAAAGTAAACTATGCGCACCACTCTAGCAAGATCTCCAACAGTCACAAGAACTCCAGTAATGATGGCATTGTTTGTATTGACACCATTACCCTCAAGTCTTGCCACGAGTGCCTGCACAAATAGACATCTATTGTAAGGCAAGAGATAAAAGAACCCAAAGATGCATAAAAGTTATTTATAACACAGCCTAATAAAAACCACAAAACTAGATGACATTTAAACCTTGTGTATTGGAGCAATATATGGGCGTATTAGTCGTTCACAGTTTCGTATTAAACAACCCAGTAACTTGGCACTTTCTTCTCTACATTTGCTATCTGCACTGCTGACACGGCACAGAGAGAGGGAGAGAGAGAGAGAGAGAGAGTAGTAAATATTTGGTTCTTTGGGAAACTTTATAGTGGAAGAAAGGGAATTCTTTTTTATCAATTATAAAGCTCAACTTCAGGTTAAAAAAATGGACTATAGCAATACTTCTAATCCTTTTGCATCACCTCTTGTCCAAGTACGTCAACAACTGTATAAGATGGCGACGAAGTGCTGGAAGAACATATGCAGGATTTTTTTCTGATAACCTCCCAGCCAAAGATATTGCAAACTCTCGAACATCAAGATCCTATAACAACAGTCAAGGCAGAAACAAAATATTATGCTATGCAACAGGTTTGAGCTCCCATATTAAAACATGGAACAGCTTATTCAGCAAGATGACAACACCCACAACCAAAATCACTTATGCACTGAAATTAGAAAGGGACTAGATGATAGCGTATGAAAGTTTTCCATCATCAAATCTTACAATGTGTTAATGCATTATGTGTTTTGCAAAAAGATTCCCAATCTTTTCACCTGTTGTGCAGATTTGACATTGCCTACCATATCCTACAGTTAAAAATTGAAGATTCATCCCACATCCTATCATAATGCTGCCATCATAATGATATTTGTAGTTTTTTAGAAGAAAAAGAACTTACTTTCTTATTATTAATATGCGGAATTTAGAAGCTATTTATAGGCATAAAACTAACTTAGAAAATCTAAGCTAATCATGAAATCCTAATTGGATTCCAAGTCATCCTTATCCGGACCTAATTAAACACTATCCGGATTTCTAAATTTAAAAACATAATTAAGGAAGAGATAACTCCTAACTTTTAGAATGATAATCTCCTTAAGAGATAATTTCCTAACTTTAAAAAAACCTAGGTCTTCGACACTCCCCCTCAAGTTGGAGCATAGATATCTATCATGCCCAACTTGCTGATAAGAAACTCAAAGCTTGGTCCGAATAATCCCTTTGTCAGAGAATATCAACTATTTGTTGTGTTGTTGGAACAAACGGCATACTGATCGCAGCCTTGTTGTCACAGTAGAGTTTCATAAGCATCTCTATTGGTTTCTTCAATTCCTCAAGAATTCTTTTTAACCACAACATTTCACATACTGCATGAGCCATTGCCCGGTACTCAGCTTCTACACTACTTTGAGCTACTACACTTTGTTCCTTGCTCCTCCAAGCGACTAAGTTTCCCCAAACATAAGTGCAATATACAAATGTAGATCTTCTGTCTGTGACGGAACCCGCCCAATCTGCATCTGTGTATGCTTCAATTGTTTTCTGCCCGTGTTTCTCGAAGAGGCGTCCTTTCCCTGGAGTGCTTTTCAAATACCTCAAGATTCGATATACTGCCTGAAGGTGTTCTTCACGTGGTGAGTGCATGAATTGACTTACCATATTAACTGTGAACGCAATGTCTGGTCTGGTATGAGATAGGGAAACTAGTTTTCCTACCAACTTCTGATATCGTGTTGTATTTACCGGATCTCCATCTTTGGCATCTCCCAACTTCTGGTTAAGGTCCATTGGGGTATCAGCAGGCCCACACCCACTCATTCATGTTTCTTTAAGAAGGTCAAGGACGTATTTCCTTTGTGAGACAACAATACCCTTTTTTGAACGAGCAACTTTCCATTCCCAGAAAATATTTTAAACATCCCAAATCTTTGATCTCGAATTCTGAAGCCAGACTTTCCTTCAAACGACTCATTTCAGTAGAATTATCTCCAGTAAGGATGATATCATCTACGTAGACTATCAAAACTGCAATTTTCCCATCATCGGAGTGCTTGATGAAAGTGTGGTCACTTTGGGCTTGGACATATCCTTGATTTTTGATAGACTAAGTGAATCATTCAAACCAGGCTCTTGGGGATTGTTTAAGCCCATAAAGTGATTTTCTTAGCTTACTCACCTTAGAACCAAAGTGCTTATCAAATCCAGGCGGTGGATCCATATAAACTTCTTCTTCCAATTCTCCATTTAGAAATGCGTTCTTCACATCTAACTGTTGAAGCGGCCAGTCAAGAGTTGCTGCAATTGAAAGAAGTGCTCTTACGGTATTCAGCTTTGCCACCGGAGCAAAGGTCTCGAGATAATCAACGCCATAGGTTTGAGTAAACCCTTTAGCTACCAACCGTGCTTTATGCCTCTCGAGAGATCCATCATAATTAGACTTGATGGTGAACACCCATTTGCAGCCAACTATTTTCTTCCCTCTCGGCAGATCCGTTTCTTCCCATTTGTGATTCTTCTCAAGTGCTTCCATCTCTTCAGAAATAGCTTTCCTCCACTCAGGAACCTGTAAAGCTTCTTGTACACTCTTTGGAATTTTCACAGAGGTGAGATGTGAGGTAAATGAAAAAAATGAAGGAGAAAGAATCTTATACGACACATAATTAGGCATGGAATGTATAGTGCATGACCGGACACCCTTGCGGGTGGCAATAGGAATATTGAGATCATCAAATGACTCAGTACTAGCACTAGGGATAGACTGTATGGAATCACCAAGGGGCTCGGGACTGGAATTTAGCAAAGAATCGGATTGATTGTTACCTTATTTTAGTTCTTCCCTCAGTTCGGACTCATGGCCTTGTAGAGGATCGGGACCTTGTTTCTTTGAATTCAGTTTCCTCCTTGAATAGACCAAGAGATCTATATTCTTAGTACCAATCTTGTTCCCATTTTCTGAGCTACTGAGATTCTGATTTTGACATAGCAGTAGACTGCTGGAATTTTCAATATGTAAAACATCATTTGTTCCATTCATATTTTCCGGTTTTTTCATGTGAATCCGAATTTTCAGTCTCAATATTAGGAGTATGTGTTGAATCTATTTCAAAAACATCATTAATTCCTAATTTGGTTACATCTTCACTTATACTCTCCCCCTGAAGATGAGTAGCAAAAAAAGGTTTAGATTCAAAAAAGGTTACATCCATGGTAACAAACATTTTCTTAGAAATTGGATCAAAGCATTTATAACCTTTTTGAGTAGGTGCATATCCTACAAAAACACATTTTTTAGCTCTAGGGTCAAGTTTTCCCCGGCTATTATCATGAATGTGTACAAAGGTTGTGCATCCAAAAGTTTTTATAGGAAGTGTAGATGATAACCTAGATGTTGGATAGCAACTTGAAAATACCTGTAATGGTGTTTTGAGTTTCAACACCCTAGTTGGCATCCTATTGATAAGATAGGTAGATGTGAGGATAGCTTCCCCCCAAAGATACTTCGCGACCTTATTTGTGAAATGTAGTGCTCTAGCTACTTCTGGGAGGTTTTTATTCTTTCGTTCAGCTATTCCATTTTGTTGGGGGTGTCATTACACGAGCTCTGGTGAACTATGCCTTTTTCTAGGAAGAATTTTCCCAAAATCTTGTTAAAATCCTCTTTCCCATTATCACTTCGAAAAACTTGAATTTGTGTTTGAAATTGTGTCATCGCCATTATGTAAAAATTTTTTAACACCTCCACATCTAACTTTTCTTTTAGTAAATAAACCCAACTTACCCTTGTGTGATCATCTATGAAAGTGACAAACCATCTCTTTCCCGATGGTGTTGTGATCCGTGAAGGCCCCCATACATCACTATGTATTAATGAAAAAGGTTTTGAAGCCTTGTATGGTTGTAATGAAAATGTCGTACGATGATGTTTAGCTAATTCACAAAATTCACACTGAAATGAAGATGGATTTTTATTGCTAAATAAGTTTGGAAACAAATGTTTTAAATATTGAAAACTAGGGTGGCCTAACCTATAATGCCACATCATTATTTCATCCCTACTAGTAATAGAAATAGATTCGAGACAAGTACTATGTGTCGGTTTTCTTGATTTGGATCCATCTTCAAAGAAATAAAGTCCACCAATCTCTCTAGCACTGCCAATCGTCCTCCCCGAAGTTAGTTCCTGAAACTCACAATAAGATGGATAGAAGTTTAGCTTGACACTTATGATCATGAGTTATTTTGCTTATGGACAAGAAGTTACAAGACAAATTTCGAACATGGAGGACATTATGAAGTGTGAGAGATGGAGAAACGCTGACTGATCCAATTCCAGCTATGGCTGAAAAGGATCCGTTTGCAATTTTGATCTTTTTATTCCCTACACACGGGTT